CCGTGCATACTTTGGCAGCTCTGCAGCCTTTCATTTCAGCTACATTTGTATTTCCATTTCATTTCAACCTCACTTCATCAACATTTGCAGCGTAGCTTGCTACACTTTGCTGCTACCGTGCTTTGGTGCAGCCTTTTATTTTCACTTGCTGCTACTTGGCAGCTTGAACACCACAACTCCAACACCATGGCATACAAAGAATCAAAATTAGACTATTTTATAAGCTGAACAAAGCAGGAACAACTGAAACAAGGCAACATTTCATCAACAAATTAATAGTCCAATGCAAATAACTTGCTTCCTTACGCGCATACAAAGCCTTTAGGGATTTTCTTTCCGCATCCATTTAAGAGCAAACTAATAGCAATGGGCACTTTAACCTTGATAACACCCAATGCATTAGCTTTGATGGCAGTGCATAAACACAATGCAGCTTCAAGTTCAGCCAGACCTGAAATTAAGGTACAACATTCCTTGCTAGGTTTAGTTCCAACAACCTCATACACCAATCCCAGCCAACTACCACAGACACCGAACTTAAGTGTATCCGTGGGGCATTTTCCAGACTCAGGGACAGCAGGAGGAGAGGGTGCCTCTTTTGGAGGGTAAGGAACGACCTTAACAGATGTAACACAAATGAAAAACAGGATATTAAACAGAATGAAAAGAGCTACAGACCTAGAACACCTTGTAGAAGCCATTTTTTCACATGCAATTGACTGATTTAACGCTCCCAGCTATAGAGTGGATTTATAGAGGTGTAGAGGAAATTTTGTGGGGTGTGTGTGGATCGATTGTGTCGAGTTAGATTTTTTATGAATGTGTGATGAAAATTTCTTCGTGTGGATGCATGTGAAAGAATGTGGCTGACAAGTAATAATGCATTATCTACTAAATTCATAGAGTTGTTTTATTTGACTAGAAAACAGTCAAAAGATGATCTGCCCCACTGTTGAATAAATCCAAGGGAATGAGGAAACACATGACGTGCTAATGGACCACACCTTCTTCCATTCCCCCAGATGGAATTAAATTTGGACCACTTGGGCCATCGTCATATAGATTGAAAAGCCCAAACTTTCAATAAAGTCTGCTGTTGAAACAAACGTGGTATCTCGGGCCAATTCAAAATAATCATATTAATTTTTTTTGGGTTTGGAATTGATCAAGTGTGAAAAAC